AGACATTTTTTGATATTTGCAACCATAGTAAAACAAAGACTTATATTTTTGATATTTATTTTATATATTTTAATGCCATTTAACAAAGAAAAATCAACCAAAAAAATGAGTTCGCGTGTCACCTCTGACACGTGTGTCATAGGTTCGCCATCACTGCTCTAGTTATTCAATAAAATCCAGATTAGCATTATCATTTAGTGTTTATTCTAGGGATATTCAAATGGTTAACATCAAGGGCTCTTGTGATACATTTCACTACCTCAACAAATTGAAGTCTAAAATTCTTTAAGTAGAATTGGAAAAGAAGAGAAGCCCTTAAACAGAGTAGAAATTAATTATCAAAACCCACTGCAACTCTTATGTAGGAATGCTGAAGAAACGTTCATGGAAAATGAGGAGCATGGATTCCTCCTTTTCCCCACTTCATTATTTACTATATTACCGTACAACTGTATCATTATAGCTAATAAAGTAATCCAATTAACCCCAAAATCAATCTTGAAAAAATATTATCTTCAATTGCAAATGAAATGTACATATTTTAATAAAACCCAGGAGTCCTTATTAAAAATATTAGTATTAATAGAAGAATCTACTGAGGTGGTTGAAGAAAGTCAATATAGATAAATCAATAGCTTTTCTCTTCACTGGAACTAACTAGGTAGAATGGTAAAAAAAATAAATAAAAATTTAAAAGGTAAAAAAGTGCCTTTATATTAGTAACTGGAATATTAAATTTATGGAAATACATTTCACAAGAAACAACATCTCTATGGGGAATTTTTATTTAAAAATATAGTCCAAATAAATAGAAAAACATAGTGTGATCCTGGATATGACAGTTTGATAATAATCTTTCTAAAGACCTGTTTTGTATGTAAAGGTAAAGAAAGTAATCATAAAGATAGAAATATGTGACCGGATAAAATTTAAAGTGCTTACAGAGCGAATGCCACCAAAATTAAAAGTCAAACTATTGACTAGGGAAAAACTATTTGTAGTTCATATAGCAGACAGAGATGACTGTTCTTAATATCAACAACCTCAAGAACTAATAAAAAAGACAAAACACCACCATAGAAAATTGGCAAGGTTATGAATAGAAAAACTGTCTTAAAAATAAAATAAATCTAAATAATCAATACACACATGAACAGATAAGCAAAAGCTTGATTAAGTTTGATTACATCTGGTAATGGTACAGATTTAAAATAGGAAGCACTTTCCTACCTTGCTGGAAGGCAAATGATTTTCTATAACATTTTGAATGAATTTATTAATACTTTTTTTAAAAATTTAAAGCTCCATAAACCTGTCCTTTGCCCCAGCAATGCTAGGCTTGAGATTCTTTTTATAGATATGAAAGTTCAATAAATATGAATATTGCATAAGGATGGTTAATGTAGTCTTGTTATTGAAGCAGCAAAATGCTTAACATTTTTCCCGATGATTTCTTATCAAGGAAAAACTATTCTTCAATGAGTCATCAGGGAGAATGTTGAATTAAATAAACATTGACTGCTATGGGAAATATGCAGCTGATGAAAAGAATAATTAGGACCAAATCTCTATCCCAGGGGGGTGGGGTGGTTGTCTATGATTGTCGGTGAGTGAGAAAAGCAAGTTGCAGAGTGACATATAAAATGCAAGCCCATTTATGTGATTGTACAGTATATGTTTAGATGAAACAGGAGATGTTAAGGAGGAAATATGCAAAGTGTCTCACAGGGGATTTTGTTAATACTTTATATTTAGGATTATTTAACAATTCAAATGTATTACTGTTTTATATTTTTAAAAAGGACATGCCAATTCAAATTAAGAAGCAACTTGAGTCTACAGAAGTGCTAGATAGAAAAGTAATGTTAATTTCTTCCTTACATCTAAATTAACCACTTGTAATGCTTTTAGTGTTTTATTCCTAAAATGTTATTTTTAAAAATATGGTTTTCTCCACATTTTTCAAATGTGAGTGGAAGAAAATCCCTTCTGATATTCTGTGTTGGCCTAGAAAAAAGGAAAGCGAGCTTTCTTTCTTCATTTCTTCCAATAAATCATCTGGTATCTCCTCAGAGGGATATGTTATGACTGATTGCAACACTCAGCCTTGTGCTTTTCAATTAAGAGTTAAGTTGTATTGCACATTTTCATTCCAGTTGCAAACTTCTTTATAAAATGAGTTTTCTTACCCATAGGACAAGTAAAGAAATAATACATGCTATATTTACGTGTGTATTTTATAATATTAGTATTTGTAGTAACAAATTCATAGAATTAATGTGATAGATTAAGAGGTTAAGCTAATTCATTAATATAGTAATTTTGATTATTAACTAATAATATGGACATATAATGTACTAATATGTTAATGCAGGTACATAAATTGCTTGGTATAGAATCTATCCCTATTTGTTTGTGGCCCAAGACATAATAATATTGAAACATTTATATATTAGTTTAATTTTGCTTACTAATATGTAAGTTGTTTTATAATATACCATGTGCATTATAGAAACTTTATCTTTAGAGTAAACAAATTATACAAAAATGCACCCTTATAAACTGATGAAAAAAATAGATCCAGAGACCTAGAAGCACAGACAGACTTCAGAGGAAAGGCAGCATTGGGCAGGTGGGTGAGGAGAGCTTAACAGGGGACTTGTATGCATATATGCATAGCCCATCCACACAGACAATAGTGTAGTGAAGGCCTTGGAGGAGCAAGTAAGTGGAAGGTGGAGGGGGTCAATGGGGAACAAAAGCAAAGGGGACAGCAGTAATACTTTCAACAATAAAGATAAAGTTAAAAGAAAAATGTACCCTATCTGTGTATATAGTAATTCTATCAATAGAAATGACTTTTAAATATTATCAAATAGTGCATAATGAAGAAATAATGCCACGTGCAAACATTTAACATTTTAACATGTTTTCTAATTGCTTAAGATATATTTGGTATGCTAGATTCTAGTTGGTGTGTTTCAAACTATTTTTTTTAAATAAAAATGTCATTCTAGAATAGATTATTGTGGGCTCCTCATTTTATATGATAGTGGCTGAAATTCATGGACTGACAAATATATAAAATATTTTTAAATAAATTATACTTTTAGATTTCAATTCCTCTGTCTCTTTGTTCACCTAGGTGGCTTTTACCGTACTTTTTGACTTGGAAGCACTTCTGAAGATATGGTGTTTGGGATTTACTGGATATATTAGCTCATCTCTCCACAAATTTGAGCTATTACTTGTGATTGGAACTACTCTTCATGTATATCCAGATCTTTATCATTCTCAATTCACATACTTTCAGGTAATACAAATAATGCCTATTTGTCTTTAGACATTTTTTATTCCATAGAAAATACTAGTCACATTATAATAATAATTGTATAAGTTTATATATAACAGTTATGTATAATTATTAAATGCACACTTAAGATAGGTCTGATGAGCCCTAACCGGTTTGGCTCAGTGGATAGAGCATCGGCCTGTGGACTGAAGGGTCCCAGGTTCGATTCCGGTCAAGGGCATGTACCTTGGTTGCGGGCAACATCCCCAGTGGGGGCGGGGTGCAGGAGGCAGCTGATCCATGTTTCTCTCTCATTGATGTTTCTGACTCTCTATCTCTCTCCCTTCCTCTCTGTAAAAAAAAAAAAATCAATAAAAAATATTTTTAAAAAAAGATAGGTCTGATGACATCTTAAATACCTAAAATAGTATGTTTATAAATTGTAATATTGTTTTTAAAACTCTTCAAAATTCATAGTAATAAATGGAGATGTTTTAAAAATATAGTTCATAAATTAGCACAATGTGAAGAAAATGCATTCCAATTTCATTGATTTTATTTATTGGTAATAGCAAAGCTGTCATTTTCAGGGCTGTATTAACTTAAGATGCTATAACCTGAAACTCAATATTCTAGTTACTTGGAGAAAAGGACATGAAAATATTATTCATAAAAATGAAAACCAAATACACTGCAACATAAAAAGTTGATCTTCTAAAAATCACCACTAAGCATATTGAAATCATAGAGGACTATCATGGTTTAAGCTTTTAAAGGGTGTCCCAAAATTCACGCAAGAAGTAATTTTGATAGAAAACACAGGTTTATAATGAAAAATTGTAATTTTTTTATTGATTCATAAAGTATACAGAATA